TGAAGACCACTAAATCAAATTATAGAATGAGATGCATTACTCCTTAAGCACCTCTCTGTAATGTATGCGAAAGGAAAATTATGTTTTCACATCCTCAGTTTGAAAACATGTTGGAGGTGTCAGGCAGTCAGTGATAAAACAGCTTAGTGTTTCTAAAAATTACAGTTGCTAATGTTTTAATAGAAAATGCACCTAACCTAAGATGACTCTATTTTGGATCTCACTAATGTAGATAAAGAATAATTAATCACTGGACTTGAAGCTGGTGGTTGCCAAGGGACCAGTGATCATGACCTAATTACATCTCATATGGGCAAACAGACGACAGTTCTAAATAGTAGTTCTTCAAAAGGGTTAATTTCCTCAAACTCAAGGAAATTAACAAAATTGATTGGGAGGAAAAGTTTAGAAAGAAAAAATGGGCATGAAAATTGGGCGTTGTTGACAAGAGGGTATTAGCTAAAAAGCTACAAGCAAGAAAGAGAACAACTTTGGTTAAAAGAATATCCTCTTTAAGTGGTGAAGGCAGCAATTAGAAAAAAGCCTGACACACAACAAACAATAAAAAGGAGGGGTACAGTAGATAGCAATCAATATAAATTAGAAGTTATTTTGTGCAGCATATTGTTAAGGGAAGCAAGTCGGGCAAAGGAAAATAAAAAGTTTTTTAAAAAGTATATTAGGAATTAAAGAAACCCCAACATAAGTATAGGACCTTTACTAATGGAGATGGAAAATATGTTAATAATGATTTTGAAAAGGTAGAAGTGTTCAATAAATATTTCTGTTCTATACAGTAATTCCTCATTTAACACTAGAGATGCGTTTCTGAATGTGTTCATGCTAAGGGAAAACGTGATTTGCGGGATCAATTTTCCAATTAAATATAACGGAAAAGGTGGGGGTTGCATTTCAGGTGGTGGTGGCAAAGTCAATTTTTTGTTGGTGCTCAGTCATCAATGTCAACATTAGACATCTAGCAACACAAGATAACTAGCAACACAAGTCGCCGCGGTTTGATAAAACACAAAGATGAACACGTGAGTGAGCAGAGGAGCGCTGTGACCACGTGTATTCATCCGCTCATGCGTATTACCACTGTTTTCACCAACTTATACCGCCACACAAAGTAGTCCACCGCTTGATTATTTTCGTGTTATTTCAGGGATGGTCGTGTTATTCAAAAAACTTTCCCTAAAAAAGAATAGTGCTGTTGTGAAAACATGTTAAGCGAGCACGTGTTAAACAAGAAATTACTGTATTTGGAAAGAAGCAGGCTGATGTATCTGTATCATATGGGGAAAAGGAAGCAATTCCCAATCCATTAGCAATGAAGTATAACTTTAATTTGGAATTAGGCATGTCACCAGTTTAGGCACTTTGAATATCACATTAGGCAGCTATCTGCATTTTGCCTAAATATCTTTGGAAATCTGGCCCATAGAAACCAAAGACTCTTAGAAACTTAACCTTAGAAAGTGAAGTCTCAATGAAAATTTCACCTAACCTTCCTTTTCCCATTAAAGAATGAAAAGGAAAATTCAGAATATTTATGCTTGACATGCTTTGGGGGAAACTGTAGAGAGAGGGTAAGGGCTCTGCTCTTTTTGAATCTGCTCACTCCAAGCAACAGAAATGACCCTACAATAAAAACTGTGGCAATCTCAATTAGGATTCAAATGTAGAACAACTTTCCGGTGTCCTGAAACAATGACCATTGGGCTATAAATACTCCCCAACCACAGTACGGCAGAGGAAGAAACAGAATAGTAAATAATCTGGGCTACATTACGAGTTTTCTCAGCAAAAATATGCTAATGAGGGACTCATTTGCATGAGTCGTGATTTCATTTGCATATTTTCTGCCAATCCGTTTTTGCGCTGGGGTTTTTGCGCATAAACAAGCAGTGTGGACATTTTCTCTTTGTGCAAAAATCCCTTTTTCCGCAAGATACTTATGCCCCATAAAAGGAGGTTTATCAATCTTGTGGAAAAAAGGGGGTTTTGCACAAAAAGATGACATCCATGCTGCTTGTTTTTGCGCAAAAACCCCAGCGCAAAAACGGATTGGCAGAAAATATGCAAATGAAATCACGACTCATGCAAATGAGTCCCTCATTAGCATATTTTTTGCCGAGAAAACTCGTAGTGTAGATGTAGCTCTGGTGTCTCAAGGCATGTCTACACCATAAATTTGGTCAACCTAATTTAGGTTGATTTACTATCCCCTCCTTCAGTTGGTGATGCACATCCTCACTTAGGGTGTCTAGACTACAGGGTTCTGTCGACAAAAGTGGACTTTTGTTGACAAAACTATACCTGCGTCTACACTGCTGCTGAGTTCTGTCAACATAACATTGGCAGAACTCAGCAATTTTGTCGATGGCTGTAAACCTCATTCTACGAGGAATAACACCTTTTGTCGACAGAGTTCTGTCGACAGAAGGCGTTATTGCATCTACACTGTCATGTCGACAAAGTGGCTTGCTTTGTCAACAGAACTGGATGTAGTCTAGACCCCCTTTGTTGACAGAAGCTTTGTCGACAGTATCTGCTCTTTGAATATCACCCCCTTTTTGCATTAGATCCTTATGTCTCTCCGAGAGAGGCATAAGGATCTTGCAAAAAAGGGTTTTTTTGCACAAAATGAATTGGCCACACTGCTTGTTTTGCTCAAAACCCCTTGCGCAAAAACAGCTCAGAGAGATTATGAAAATGAAGCATGACAAAATGCTAATCAGCGCTTCATTTGCATTGCCTCTTCTGGCAAAAAAGCATAGTGTAGACATAGTCCGAGTGGGTATCCAGGCAGGCACAGCCTGGATGGGCACAATCCAACAGGGAGCTGGGGGCAGTCAGACTCTAACTGCCCAGTATGGAGCCCTGAAGTTGGCAAGACAGCCAAGAGCCTATATAAGTAATGTGTACACAGCGTCACTGTAACTACACCAACATAACCCCTATACCTCTCATAGAAGTGGAATTAATATGCTGGTGTAGCAGGGCACTTACATCAATGCTGCAAAACTATAGTTGTACCCTGACATAAGTAAGGCAACCTAAGCTGCCTTAGGCTAACTTAACTGTGTCGTGTAGAACACCTCTCTCAGACATTTCAAGAGCGGCACTAGAAAACAATACAAACACCAGCCAAACCTAGAAACAGTGCATTGCTGCTGCTGAAGAGGTACACTTCAATCCCTAAATGTGACTTGTCACAACTTCATTTCATGGGGAACATTCTCTGGCTTTGAAGCATTTGAATTTTGGTGTTACTTATCTGTGGCATGCTAGGGTATAGGTGTAGCTTCTTATCGGCTGAGTAGCACGACTCTGACACTTACAGCCTACACAGGACAGAGGCAAGCACATGCCTTATTCCATGCTGAATGAAGAATGCCTTCAAATGCTCATTACCCTGCATTAGGAAGAAGCAGCTTGTGCCTCGTGAAGTATTTGTTGTCAGTGATACATTCAGTGATGGCCAGTCAACCTGTGGAACTCTTTGCCAGAGGATGTGGTGAAGACTAGGACTTTAACAGGGTTAAAAAAAGAGCTAGATAGATTCATGGAGGTTAGGTCTATCAATGGCTATTAGCCAGGATGGGGAGGAATGGTGTCCCTAGCCTCTGTTTGTCTGGAAACGAATGACAGGAGAGAGATCATGTGAGGATTACCTGTTGTGTTCCCTCCCTCTAGGGCATCTGGCATTGGCCGCTGTCAGCAGACAGGATACTGGACTAGATAGACTTTTGGTATGACCGTTCTTATGACCCTTCCTACATCCCATACCTGGAAACCCGGTTGGAGTGTTGCCCCATATGTTTGTTATTCCCTTTCTGCAGTGCTCCTGCGTGGCACCTGATACATGTGTGTGTATTAAGAAAGGACACATCCTACAGTTGCCCTTTATGTTTAAGCAATGATTCATAACTGAGAAAATATAGCAAGAGTAACAATTATTGTAGGGACTACAAGCAGGACACTATAGTCTACTCATTTTAGTACAATTCATACAGATCTGCTGGATCCACAGACAATGGACGTGCATTAGCAATGCTGTTTGCGCATGAAATGAAAATGGCTGCAGTCAGAATATTAGTTCCACTGGAATCACAAGGGAGAAAATAATCTGTAGTTGCCATATGAAAAAAGGAAAAAAAATTGCATGGGGAAGGGAGATGCATTCCAATTTTACAGGATTTATAGCTGCCCAGAACTGTCTTCTTAAAATGTACCACCCAGTCCAGCTGGTTCTATTTACCAACACTTGCTAGTGAATGATAATTTCCTCAATACAGACAGAGCAGCTCAGTTTTTCTAGGAGCTCATACTACATCATACTGTCTGTAACATATTGCAGGTGCATTGGCACTGAACCGGAGTTCTTTCCTAGTGAGGGAGACAGATGCTTAACAGGAGAGTGCCCATTTGGGTAAAATTATACATTGCATTTGTCTCCCTCACACATCTCCATCCCCCATCTCGTTGGTCTCAGGTCCTGCCAGGATAAGAACTCAGAAACTGAGGCTACATCTAGACTGCAGGCTTCTTTCGGAAGAAGCTTTTCTGGAAGAGATCTTCCAAAAAAACTTTTTCCGAAGAGAGCGTCCACACTGCCAAATCGCATTGAAAAAGCAATCTGTTTTTTTGACAGAGAGCATCCACACTGAATGGATGCTATCTCGCATTTCAGCGGTGATTACTATGGACAGAGTGGCCACCAGGGCACCTGTGCTTTTTCTTTTTTCCTCTTCTTGAGAAAGAACTCCCTCTTCACCGTCCATACATGTCTTTTTCTGAAAGAGGTTTTTTGGAAAAAGGCTTCTTCCTTGTAGAAAGATGTTTACCAATGTCAAAAAAACCCCTCTGTCCTTTCGGGGTTTTTCTGAAAGAATGTGATTGCCGTGTGGATATAAGTGACGTTTTTCTTGGAAAACAGCTGTTTTTCCGACAAAACTCTGTAGTGTAGACATAGCCAGAGTCACAGTGGTGGCCAGGACTCGTGGGGACTTTTAATAGTCAGTTTCCAAGGCAACTGCCCCTTTCCTTCCCCATTTTGGCAGGCCTACCCCCCCATTAGGACTTGGGACCTCAACAAAGTTAAGATTATATGTACAGCATGAAGTAAGCATACTACCTTTTCCAGGAACCAGTCTGGGCGTGACCCCTTTCCATCCGTCCGGATCCTCATCTTCCTGAGTGGCGCAATATCTGCAATCTCCATGATAAACGTGTCCTCCTGACCTCGCTCGAATCTGGAGAAATTAAAAGATCGTGTTTTCTTGGGCTGATGAAGTCACCATCTTCTGTGCCTGCAACAGCTCCAACTGTGTCAGCAACCTCAGCAAAAATGGTTGTAAATCACCCTTCTATGTGCACTGCTCTAGACTTGGTTTTTCTAGTCTGGTTATTGCATAATAGCATGGTTCGTGCCCTACCCATTTAAAAGGACTTGGAAAAGAGGAGACTAAGGGGGCCGGGGGTATGATAAAGGTCTATAAAATCATGACGGGCTCGTCTACACTGCTGGACCACCCCGAACTCCCCCAGCCCTTTCTCCTGTGGGGCTGCTGCTGGGCAGAGGGAGCCAGAGAAGAGGCAGCTGTGAAGGGCTGGGAGTGGTAGGGGCAGTGTCTTTCCGTACGTTGTTCTGGCTATAAAGAGCTGGTACGGGGTTCAAAAAGGGCTAGATAGATTCGTGGAGGTTAGGTCCATCAATGGCCATTAGCCAGGATGGGTAGGAACGGTGTCCCTAGCCTGTTTCTCTGGAAATGGCTGATAGGGGTGGGATCACGTGATCACTTTGTGTTCCCTCCCTCTGGGGCATCTGGTATTGGCCACAGTAGGCAGACAGGATACTGGGCTCAATGGACCTTTGGTCTGACCCAGGATGGCCGTTCTTATGCTCAATTTGGAAAGGGATTATTTTCCCCTGAGAATCCACCAACACAAACCCCACTGTTAGTTGCCTAAGCTCATCTACAGCATTGCCCAGCTTGTAACACAGACTTTGTTTACACACGTGTACATTCAAATTGTGTTACTAGTGGAGATGGGGCCAAACTGCAAACCCCACCTTTTTAAGCCTTTGAATCTGGAACTGGGGTTTGCAGAATGAGTCCACCTGTTATCCTGGGGGCAGGCTGGTGTTTGGAAACTCGGCCTGCAGCCAGGGCTTGTATTCTGCCCTGCTGTTGCACCATGGGGAGAGGAAGGCAGAGGGAACATTGGCCCTTGCTGTTCAGGAGCAACAGGGGAAAAGAGGACCAACCAACAAGCTGGAATGTTGCATCTTGAATGACAGTGTGTCCCCAGCTGCTTAGTCTCTCTGCTGAGAGTGAGAAATCTCGGCCAAACTGAAGTCAATAGGATGTTAGCTTTTAATTGCAGAAAGGCCTATGTCTCACCCATAGTCAGAGGCATGTGTTATTGGGGGCATCCCCCAGGACCACCCTTTACTATCCCGCACAGGGTGGTTGAATTGCTACAGACCAACAAGAAAATAGCCAGCCACTGTTCACTAGCTAGCACGGCAGTTGGAGGCAGGAGTATTTGCACAAACTACCCCCCAAAACATCTAAAGAAAACCCCAGTGGAATGACCAGCTACCTCCCTGACTCTTCTGCTTATGTGATACATGGTCTTCTACTTTGTCCATCATTGACAAGTTTGGATGGTGAGCTTTTCGGTGTAACCCACCTTTTGGGGTGTGGTGCACTGTCTTATCTAGTGGCACTGAGACAACTTACAGAGAGAATAATGAGTCTGTTCCACAGCCTTAGCTAAAAGCCAGCTGGATTTTAGCTCATGTGATAGAGGCTCATGCACTAAGCTCCAGAGATCCCAGGTTTGGTTCTGTCTGCAGATGTCAGGGGTCTGTCAGTGTTACATTTGGACCTAGCTTTATGCACTGTGGGTGCTACCTCAATCTAAATAATATATAGGAATGGCACCCCATTCCTGGTAGTTGTCTGTACCAGCTACTAGCTGTGTAACTCTGATAGAAGGGAAAAATTGCTTTTCAGCCTCTAGTCAGATTACACCCTGTAGAATAAATCTGATTATCTTTGAACCATTATCTCAGGCTGCATAGTAACAGATGCTACCAATGGGTTTGGCATGAGCTGCTAAATTTTGATCCAGACCATAATGTCCCCAGATTTACAGAACCATTAGGTGTGGGGGTTTGATTTAGGTCCATTTCTAGTTATTAATGGTTACAAATTACCTCGCTCTCACTCTTTTGAAAACTTGTGCCATGTTCTTTGCCTCACTGCTTTTCTGTGGTAGTGAATTCCAAGGCTAACTACACCCTGCTCAAAATAATATTTCCTTTTATGCCTTAAGTGGAGGCTCCAGTTTCTAACTTTACAAGACAAAATGAAAAGTAGCAAACCTTCACTTTTCATTATGGACATCGCTGTTAGTAACGCTTTATGTCAGTTTTGTCCTTTCCAGGTGAAATAACTCTAGTCTAAGCAGTCTCTCATCATTCTGTTCTTTCAACCTGCCGTCAGCAGTCAATATCTTGTTCAGAACCAGTAGGTTTCATATCCAATTCATTACACTATAGGGAAACAATAAGGCGATGGACTGAAGGACCTAATTTATATGAGTATGAACGTAGGAATTCTAAATCTGAATAATAACTGAGAGTGGGGGGAATACTGGAGGAGATAAAGTATTTGGCAAAATGCCTTCTTCGAGACACTGAACCATTTGTCTGCAGGATTTCATTAAGTTTTCCTATCCATGCCTTCACTTATAAATATTTCTATTGGCTTGAGGCCTTGGCACTAACTGTAATGTAACTAAACTAGCCTTAAATCTGTGACAGGTAAGAGAGTTGTTTCTCTGTAAGGTGGCGAGCTCCTGTCAGTGAGCAGGTATTGAATGGCCCCAATAGAGAGGAAGTGTCTCTTTTAACAATTTTGTATGCAATACCTTCTTCTCCCTCTCTCTCTGTCTGTCCGGTTGTTTGATGGCTACAGTCCGGATGTTTCCATATGGGGCTTGAATCCATGGAAATGTGTGTTGTGAATTGCTGGCTCGAGAGACAACAGGAAATACAAGGACACAGGCAATGTACACGCTGGGAAAAGTGCCCTTCTGCCTCGGGTATTAAGGGCAGCCATGCCAGCACAAGGAATGGGCAGGTGACAATCAATCTTGGGTGAGGAGTGAGGGCCTGCAATTGGGCCTGGAGCTCCTAGCTAACAGCAGTGGGCAGAATGACATTGCCAGGACTGCTCTTCAGACCACTTGTAGTGCCCAGCCAGGGATTGCTCAGTGTGTATGGCCCCAGAACCAATCCCTTCCCTACCTGCCTTGTTCTCAGCCTGGCTCCAGCCCTGTTCCTGCCTTGCTCCTACCCTGGCTCCAGTACAACTCCAGCCCTACTCCTGGGTCCTGACTCTTGGCTCCGACTCCAGGATCTTGACTCTAGCGCTAGGCTTGGCAGCTGCTACTCTGAGTCCTAGACAAGAATGCCCGTAGCCTGCTCTGTGACACCTTGTAGCAGAGCAGAGTTACAGGGTGTGTGAAGCTGCTTTACATATTGCACATATTAGCAGTTATTCTGTAGGAGCCAGGTACAGCAGGCTGCTTCAGTTGCTGGCCACGGACAGCTGGCTGCGTCAGTGGCTTTTCACTATGGCCAGGTCTACACTAGACCCAGAAAGTCGGGTTAAGGTATGCAACTCCAGCTACCTGAAATACGTCGCTGGAGTCAGCTGACCTTAAGCCAAGCGTGGCGCCGTCTTCTCCCACCAGCAAACACTCCCACCAGCTTCCCTTACTCCTCGCAACTGTGAGTACAAGCAGTGGCCGGAGTGGGTCTTAACTTTGTGCTTGAAGCATCTAGAAGAGAGTCACCGGAAAGACCAGTGCAGGATCTATCCCGGGTTTCACCCTTAAACACTGAAAGACAGAGACCAGCGTCTCAAGTTCTGCTGATGGAAGCTGAGCTCTGGCCCCAGGCCGACCATGGATTGGGGTATCCCACGCCTATCGCCTCCTCCTCAGTGCAGAGCGTTCTGGCACTATTATTCTGGGAACTGGCACCAAGAAAGGACTCCTCATCAGACTCTCGGCACAGTCCTGGCTCCTTCCACGTGTGGTCGGTGGGCAGGTGCCAGTCTCCATCGCCAGTTCCTCAGAAGAAAAATAAGCCAAAGGGAGGCCACTCTCCCCTTCGCTAAAATGAAGGCATCAGCCAATATGGGACTCCTGTTGGCCCAGAGTCCTTCAGCACTTCACCCGTGAGGGTCGCATTGATTCCTGGTCCTGTTGCTGTTGACTCATCGGGCCCTTGGAGTCAGCATATGCAGCCCCCTTCAGCCATGGAGGCATCTGAGGCAGCACAAGACTTGTTGCATCTGACGGCACCGTTTTCCCCTCCCAGGGGGGATGAACCGCCGGCACCGGCCTGCCCTGTGATCCAAAGAAGGGGGAAGCTGGGCATGCTGTTGCGGGGCTCACCATCTCCACGGTGCCATCAGGTGCCCACAGCTCAGGAGCAGGAGCCTCGTTGGTCCCTTGGCTCCCAGCACTTGCTGCCATGCAGCACAGCTCCTCCGTGGTCTTCGTTTTTGCAGACCTCGGAGTCAGAGTCTGAGCCCTGTCATTTGGACAGGAGTAGGAGCAGGAGGTCGAGGTTGTGGCAGGACCGGCACATCTACACAGCCCTACAGCTGTCATGGTGGCAACACCAGATGCAGTGGCTCTTATGGACACCAAAGCCTGGGGTCGCGCTAGGCAGCAGCATCGGTTGCATCAGCTAGCTACCCGTGTACTGCCATTTGCCCTTTAGGAAGCTCCAGCTTCAGTGCTGTCCAAGCACTGCAGCCAGCCACAGCAACTTCTCCAGTACTATCCACACTGACAATTTCTGCATCAGCATTGACAGCTCCATTACTGACAGCTCTGGCCCCTATAACTTCAGCACTGGGAAGGGCACAGCACCATCTGTTTTGGCACCAGCCTCGGAATCCCAGACAGCATGAGGCCCCTGGGATGTGGAGAGAAGGGAGCAGCCCCCCCTTATGGGGATCTCTTCCTTTTCCTCCCTAGATGAAGTGTTGGGCAGGCACTTCTGTAGCCCCAGCCCTGAAGGGCTACAGATTTTTGCAGCAGTTGCTGCAGCAGGTCACCCAGGGCCTGGGCAGTCAGGCCGAGAAAGAAGGGGAGGATGCAGATTCCCTAGCGGATATCCTTACCCCTGCCAGATTTGCACATCTCGCTCTCTCTCAGAAAGACCATTTCCAACCCAAAGAACACTTTGTGGCAGACCCCAGCCTCCGACAGCCAAGCACAATGAACGATGCTATTCTGTGGCCTCCACGGGCTAGAAGCACCTCTACATGCCCCTTTCACGAGGTTCCCTGGTCATGGATGCTGCTAACCAGTAAGAGTGCCAGAGCTACCAGGAGAACAGTGGGGGACGGGGGGAGGGTGGTGGTGAAAAGAAGTGACCTTCTCAGGAGAGAGATCTATTCCATTGGCAGTTTGCAGCTCCGCATGTCTAATCCACAGGCACTGCTACAATACATGGGGGGCAGTGGCAAAATTAGCTGAGGAAGATAAGCTCATGTCCTGAGCATCCCTGTAGGCCACTGTGGCTGGGGCTGATGTGGCTACTTGGGTGATGGCTAGTGGGGTTGCTATGGAAAGGGGCTCCAGGTCTCAGCTCTGCCATGCAAGATCCAGCCGACCATTCAAGCCCTCCCTTTTGCAGGATTGATTTTCTGAAAAGGCAGATAAAAGACTTCGCAGCCTAATAGACTCAGGAGTCACCCACAAGTCGCTGCACCACCACTCTGCTGCCACACAGCAGAAGCCACAACACCGTCCCCAGTTCTACCAGCCACAGAACAGACAGGGAGGTTCCCAGGGAAGGAACAGGAGTGGCAGAAAGAGAAGGTAAGACAGACCTGCCAATTGTAGGGAATTGTAAGGGCAACAGGCAAGGGAAACTCACCTGCCAATGCTCTTAGGTTAAAATCTGCTGATTATGCTTGGAAACAAACGATTAGCTGGGTGTCTCCACGTGGAGCCAAAAGCTATGAAGTTGGTAGCCTGCATGCTCAGAAGGGCATGTGTCTGCTCTGCTGGGTTGGGTTGTTTGAAGACATTGCAGAGATTTTAGGCAGTGGTAAATGCATTAGTTTCCACATAGTGAAATACAGGAATGCTTCAAGGTCATTTGAATACACTTGCCCACATAACTATTCCTTATTGGCATCTGCCAATTTAACATCTCTTCATCCCAAAGGGCTGCTTGCTGCCACTTGCTCCCCTGCCGGGACCCAGCTGAGCGGTGCAGCGCTCGGCCGAACTGCCAGGGAGGGAGGAGAAGGGGGGCGGGGCGCTGACGTACACGGCCAGGAGGCGTATCCGTGTACGTCAGTGTCAGCGTCAGCGTTACAGTCGCACAGACACTGGGCTATAATATATATGATAAGCTTTCCGTAGGCAGAGACCCACTTCGTCAGATGCATGACTGCATCACCTCTCCGCATGCCAAAAGTTCTAACTGGTCCTTATTCAGCTGCCAAACCTCCTGCATCCCCTCTGATAACTTCGGCCATGCAACTGTGTGATGTCAAGGACAACAAGGAATAAATATCACAGGGGCTACAGCAATAATTATAATGTTCAATTTCCACTTGAATTAAAAAAGCCCATCTGTTTTTAATATTTATAAAAACTGTCACAATTTCCAGGCTGCCACACTAGAATGCTGCAGAATCTGATGTTCTAGCAGGGCATTTCACTCCAGTTTGCTATCGGAGACCCCAGACTGTTGCTCACAGTCTAATAGCATGTTAACTGGCTGAATTGTGATTCTGTGTGTCGCATGCTGTGTATCGCATGTATTCGTGCAAATAAGAACTCTGTAGGCGGTGATGTACACAGCCGAGTACATCACCGCCCCCCTTCTCCTCCCGCTGTGGCACTCAGCTGAGTGCTGCGCCCCTCAGCCGGGCCGCCGGGGGAGCCAGCAGTGCAAGGGGCTGTTTGGGCTCCCCTGGGGTGGGAGGGGAAGGGAGGGGGAGAGAAAGAAAAAGACGGAGAGAGAGGCAGGAGGTGGAGGAGAGCTGAGAGAGTGGGGGGAGGCAGTAAGAAGAGGAAGGGTATGTCCACACTACCCCGCTAGTTTGAACTAGTGGGGTAATGTAGGCATACCGCACTTGCAAATGAAGCCCGGGATTTGAATTTCCCGGGTTTCATTTGCATAAGCCGGACGCCGCCATTTTTAAATCCCGGCTGGTTCGAACCCCGTGCCGCGCGGCTACACGGGGCACGAACTAGGTAGTTCGAACTAGGCTTCCTAGTTCGAACTACCGTTACTCCTCATTCCACGAGGAGTAATGGTAGTTTGAACTAGGCTTCCTAGTTCGAACTACCTAGTTCGTGCCCCGTGTAGCCGCGCAGCACGGGGTTCGAACCAGCCGGGATTTAAAAATGGCGGCGCCCGGCTTATGCAAATGAAGCCCGAGAAATTCAAATCCCGGGCTTCATTTGCAAGTGCGGTATGCCTACATTACCCCACTAGTTCGAACTAGCGGGGTAGTGTAGACATACCCAGAGAGACAGAGTGAGAGAGCTCACGAGAGAAGACCTGAAAATCCCGTTTTATGACAGGCTAATTGGCTAGTGCTCCAATAAATCTGTTCGTCCATAAGGTGCCACAGGACTCCTCGTCACTTTTGCAGATTCAGACTAACACGGCTAGCCCTCTGATATGTTAGCTGTGTCTATGAAAGTGACCACTGTTATGGGTGGGTCAGTCCACACCTCTCATAAATACTGTACCTGACTGTCAGCAGAGTTACTGTGTTGGTGTGCACTCAATTCATGTTTATATATTTTCTTCACAACAATGAAAGATCATTTAAAAACCCCTACATTTTAGATTTTTCTGCCATGGTGGATTCCACATCAAACACTGCCATTATGGTATCATGGAACACAAAACCCTGGCTGTAGCTGACACAAGACTTTACTGTTTGCAATTTTCTTCAGAATGTCTAGTTTTAACTGCACAGAAGCAGGAAACACTCCAAGATTTGTGCACATGCTGAAGGATGATGTATTATCTGTTGCACAGTGCAGTTCTTCCTACGGATCAGTTAGGTCCAATAACACAATTTGGAAATGGAGTCTTCCCCTCCATCATTAAAGTCAATGACAATTTTGCTATTGATGTGAGTGGAAGCCAGATCAGGATCCTAACTGTTTAAATTTGAAAGCTGTGCTTTGTTGTTGCCTATTTTTAAGGAACAAAAGAGGATGAGACACGGTACCTCTCTCCATTTTTTTCCAGCTGCATTTCCTCAGTGTTCCCGCTGGATCCAAAAAGAGTCATGTAAATATTGGTATCAGTTCCAGCATTTTGGATGTCTCCAGTCACAACTGTAACTTCATATAGAATCTGGCAAGGATTGAAACAATCATGAAGTGTCTCACTGCAAACAGCTGTTCTTGATTCAAACAAAAGCCTAAGCAAACAGCTAGTCAGGCTCTGCAGTCTGTCTGCTTCTTTACATGTCGTCATCATTGCATACATAATACCTTTAATACCAGCTCCTTTTATACAGATATTTTCTATTGCAAAGCTACTGCCCATTTTCCTTTTTCATTGACTAACCTTTCTTAGAGGTTTAGACAGCCCACACAATTTGTCTGAGTATTAGTACTGCCCACATACATGCATTGGAAGTGACAGCCAGTGGATGAACTGCAGAGGCAGGTGATAAATACCAATGATCATACAGCTTGGTCTGTTTCATCGGTACTCTGCCTGCAAATCCATCTCCCTCTAGACTGTATGGCTACGTCTACACTGGCATGATTTTCCGGAAATGCTTTTAACAGAAAAGTTTTCCGTTAAAAGCATGTTCGGAAAAGAGCATCTAGATTGGCAGGACGCTTTTCCACAAAAGCACTTTTTGCGGAAAAGCGTCCGTGGCCAATCTAGACGCGCTTTTCCGCAAAAAAGCCCTCATCGCCATTTTCGCAATCGGGGCTTTTTTGCGGAAAAGAAATCTCTGCTGTCTACACTGGCCCTTTTGCGCAAAAGTCTTTCGGGAAAAGACTTTTGCCCGAACGGGAGCAGCATAGTATTTCCGCAAGAAGCACTGATTTTTTACAGCAGGAAGTCAGTGCTTTTGTGGAAATTCAAGCGGCCAGTGTAGACAGCTGGCAAGTTTTTCCGGAAAAGCTGCTGATTTTCCGGAAAAACTGGCCATTCTAGACACAGCCTTTCAGTATTCCAGGCCCCGCCACCCCTCAAGCAACTTCAAACTCCTGCCCCTTTAAAAAAAATCAGCTGCTTCCCCAATGCTGCTACTTTGATTTCCAGAGTGGACAATATTCAGTTCTGTTTCCAAGATAGGGTTAAATCCTAACATGTGTCTTGTCACACTGCATGGCAAGAATTAGGTGCCTTAGACATGGACAAGTGATGATTCCCAGTTTCCCAGTGAGATACACAGTACTTGCATCTAGCCCTGAAAGGTCCCAAGATATCAGACTTTAAAGTTATGCCAACTTATGCATAGGAAAGCTGCTTGGGGTCATTTTCATCATATTAGCGTAACTTTATTTTCTTTCTCTGAGACCTGAATAGTTGGACTCACAGGCTGTGTCTAGACTGGCAAGTTGTTCCGCAAAATCATCTGCTTTTGCGGAAAAACTTGCCAGCTGTCTACACTGGCCACTTGAATTTCTGCAAAAGCACTGACGATCTCATGTAAGATTGTCAGTGTTCTTGCGGAAATACTATGCTGCTCCCGTTCAGGCAAAAGTCATCTTGGGCAAATGCTTTTGCGCAAGAGGGCCAGTGTAGACAACGCAGTATTGTTTTGCGCAAAAAAAGCCCCGATCGCGAAAATGGCGATTGGGGCTTTCTTGCGCAAAACCATGTCTAGATTGGCCACGGACGCTTTTCTGCAAAAAGTGCTTTTGCGGAAAAGCGTCCTGCCAATCTAGATGCGATTTTCCGAAAATGCTTTTAACGGAAAACTTTTCTGTTAAAAGCATTTCCGGAAAATCATGCCAGTGTAGACGTAGCCACAGAGTAAAATATTTCAAAAGCACCTAAGTGATTTGGGTACCTGAGTCCCAGTGCTCCGTGGAACTTTGAATAAAAAGAATTTAAATGACTTAGAAGTCCCTCGGCAAGTCAACAGGACTAACTTAGAGTACGTCTACACATCAGGGCAACAGTTGAATTAAGATACAGGCAGTCCCCGACTTACGCGGATCCGACTTATGTCGGATCCGCACTTACGAACGGGGCTTTCTCGCCCCGGAGGTCGAGGTAGCTGCTCCGTGGAACTTTGAATAAAAAGAATTTAAATGACTTAGAAGTCCCTCGGCAAGTCAACAGGACTAACTTAGAGTACGTCTACACATCAGGGCAACAGTTGAATTAAGATACAGGCAGTCCCCGACTTACGCGGATCCGACTTATGTCGGATCCGCACTTACGAACGGGGCTTTCTCGCCCCGGAGGTCGAGGTAGCAGATTGCTACCTGTGAGCTCCGGGGCAAGAAAGCCCCGTTCGTAAGTGCGGATCCGACGTAAGTCGGATCCGCGTAAGTCAGGGACTGCCTGTAATAAGCTTTGAAAAATACTCCATTCCCATATTCTCAGCAGAGATGTGCATGAGAGTTTGGCTGATAAATTTCCCAGAGTCCGTCTGCCCTATGCATCGACCAGCCCTAAGGAGAGACCAAGCAGGCTTCATCACAGTGCTGAGACAGCTTTTCCCAGTTTCCCTACCATTTCTGTTTCTGGCTACTATAGTGCTGGGCATAGAAAATGAGCCAGGGAGACTATCCTGTGTTCTCATTGTTCACCCTGATAATGCCCAGACATTGTGGAAGACAAAAAGATGAAGAAACCTTCCTGGAATATAGAGAGATGAGGAATTGGAGTGGGGGAGAGGAAAATAGGGAGGGTAGCAAGAAACAGAAGGTGGGTGGAGAGCAGAGGGAGAGTGGGATAGAAACTTGTTGGGAGTTGTGGGGGAATAGGATAGGCAGAGGGAGAAGGAGATGGAGAATTCATATGAATAGTGATAGAAGTGAGGGTCAGGACTCAGTATATAGAGTGCATAGGAGCAAAGAGAAATAGAGACATGCTGAGAGCAGGGAGGCAGAAGAGTACTCTAAACAGTAGGCCTGGAATTGAACTTACAAGCCCTGAAGTACTTCCTATTCCATTGCTGTCGGCAAGTAGCTGTAAAGCCTGGTCCTCATGTTCTGGGTGGCAGGCCAGAGGCAGAGTTGCTCTGCCCCAGGCTTCCTGGAATCAGCCACTGATCAGTTTCAGCAGCAGCTGACTTGGGGTTTTTAAGTTGAATCTGTATGTAAGTCAGAACTGGCGGTCAGTTTCAGCAGCGGCTGAATCTGGACGCCAGTTCCGACTTACATACAGATTCAACTTAAGAACAAACCTACAGTCCCTATCTTGTACGTAACCCGGGGACTGCCTGTACTTAACTTCAGCTATGTCAATTGCATAGCTGAAGTTGAAATAGCTTAATTCGGCTTTTGGCACTATCTACACAGCAGGAAGTCCAAGGAAGAAAACTTATCCTTCGACTTCCCTTACTCCTCGTGAAATGAGGGTTACATGAGTTGGAGTCAGAAGTCCTCCAGCTTGACATTATTTTGAAATAATGGCTTGCTGTGCAGGCGCACACTATGTTTTTTCGAAATAACGTCAGTTATTCCAAAATAAGACTGTGTGTAGACATATCCTAAGTTACTTAGACACTTATGTAGATATTATCTGTGGTAACTAAGACACTTGGGTTTATCAGCAAAAGGATATCAAAACCAGTCCTAATACACGGTCTTAATTGTCTGATATGTTGAGTAGGTTTTATAGGCATCAGTCATGGACGCCACATTATTCAAGAGTGTCAAAGGAATAGGAGGAAAAACAAATTAAAGCTGATACATTTAAATTATTCTGCAGGCTATGCAAGAAGTGAAGAAAAATCATACCATCAATTTTCCAAAAACAGCAAGGAGTCCAATGGCACTTTAAAAACTAACAAATTAATTAGGATATTAGGGCATAAGTTTTTGTGAGCTACAACACAGTTCCTCAGATGCTGAAGAGAAAAGAAAAAAAGAGCAAGGGATGCAGAGGTGGGAGTGTGATATCAATGCTAGTTAAATCAGAGTGGATGTAGCTCATCTCAAACAGTGATGAGAAGGTGAGAGTAAATGGGAAATTAATTATCACTCATGTCACACTCCCATCTCTGTATTCCCTTCCTTTTTTTTTTCTTTTCTCTTCAGAATCTGAGCAAGTGAGTTGTAGCTCACGGAAGCTTACGCCCTAAATATGTTAGTTGTTAAAGTGCCATCGGACTCCTTGTCGTTTTTGCTGAAACAGACTTTCACGGCTATCCCTCTGAAACTTTTCCAAAAACAGTGAAGGGAACCAACGCTAACAAATTTAGCGTTACTGATCCAAGTCATTTTATAAGGAAAGACTGGACAAAATATGTTAAGAACTGTTTGAAAAGTGAAACATACACTTCAGTTTTTGAACGCTCAGCTCAAAGACACCATCCCTGATTTTCCTCAAGTCTTCCAGCAATATTCTGACAAAACATCACATAAGAGATTTCTGGTGGGTGGAATTCCTTTCGGCAAACTTAAGGAGGTCGTGAGCCACACTGGGCTCTTAATTAGTATCAATATTCATTTATGGATGATGCGTTAGAGGAAGAATCTGGTATGAGTCTTTGAAAGGTGTTCAAGGTGGAAGTTAAAGAATCGATGGAATGTTTCAGCAAAAGTCGATCTTAGTGCCCAACGTCTCCTTTCTGAGTGCATTAGGTTCTACCGCTGAAGGCTGTGTGTATTGGTTGAGTGTCTGTCAGCTAGTAAAAATTTTTATTGCACTTCTGTTTGTCTGGGGTACATAAAAGATTTTATGAGTAAATCTCATTTAGTTGGAAGTCAGGAGCAACGTATGAAATTACTGTTCTGCTAGCAAGGTAATCTAGCTGTGAATATAGATTTACCAATAGAGATTTCAGACCAACACTGTATTATTGTCTCACTTGTCAACATAATTGTCTGCTAGTATTTCCATTATGAATCTTATTTCCAAGGACTGCATAATTCAAGCTTTTTAAAATTTGTATTGGACTAAAATACAGCACACATCTCATATTGAATGTTTGTATACATATAGCAGGTTTTGTCTTTCCTTTTTAATTTGGTACTTGATTCAGAGATAAGCAAACAGATACAAATCTCGTGGTTTCCAGGTACTCTTTTTTTAACTGAGCACATTAAAAACAAACAAACAAACAAACAAACACCCCAAACCCACAAACTGTATACAGAAACAAACACATATAAAGGCACATGTTACTTTGTTAACTTTGAAATGATCTCTCAGGCATACAAAATAGGAGATTTTTTTTTAGAACCGTAAGTATATATAGTGCTTTACAACAGATAATGGTACTAAGCAAAAATTCTAAATAAATAATAAATATACCTTTTAAAAGAAACTGAAACCTCATGTACAATGTACAGTACAATAGTTTACAAAGATATTCACTGTAGTTATGTCATAATCTGTGACCACATATGGCCCACAAACATTTATTTAAATGTAAGTTTTAATTTAATTGTTAAAGATGAAAAAGATCTTAGCACATACCTTGTGGCCAATGTTAATACAATCTGCATCCAGGATGTTGAAGACACGTGACGTGAGTCCATCTCCTCGGTCCCTGGCCAGCCAGCATTTACAGACAAAGGTATACATGACCCCTTTCGTGGGCACAATGAGTGTTAGCTCTTCCACCAGCCAGGAGCTCTCTGGTGTGGCACCATCATGACCCAACTATGACATTCAGACAGATAAAAACATCGATTGTTCAAGGAAATAGAGAACTATCCAAGAATCCTAAAAGGCATGATCAAACCAGATGTTTTAAGAGGTAATTACAGGCAAAGCCACCATGTACTGCTAGAAATGCAGCCATCACGAGGATGGAACACAGCAGCTGTAAAACATAGCATTTCTACACAGAAGGAAGGGTGTCAGGATCCATTGCTGTTAATACTAGTGAAGGTGCTCAGGTATCATGCTGATAGGCATGGTTTTAAAACCTACACAATGTGTTTGGGGGGGGGAGGGGATATTAAATTGGCAAGAAACTATTGCTCACATTAAAACATGGTCAAGAAACTCCCCTATGGGTCCAAAAAATAAAATCCCTCTTACTGCATCACCCCCATCCACCAACAATAAAAGCCATGACCGGCCACTTATGGCTCCTCTTACTGGGAATTTTATTTGCTGCCATTCCTCAGGTACAGAATGGCCTCAGCAGACCCCATCAGCCCACATCCGCCCATCTGCATATCAATATCGATATAGATATAGTTTCCCTCTTTCCTAGCCTTGGTATGTGGCTCATTTTCTTGAGCTGTAAGCTCTTCAGGGAAGGAACAATGTCTGCTTCTGTCTTTTGTATAGGACTTAACACAATTGGGCATGAGTGTTGATCAGAGTCTCTAATTGCTACTGTGTAATACATTTAAAAAGGATCTTTCCATAGCCTAGGAATTGGAAGGCCTGGGTCCAGTTCTCTGCTCTGCCATAGACTTTGTCTCATCTCTCTGCCTTAGTTCCCCAACTGTAAAATGAGGCTAATGGTCCTTTCACAGCTCCAGGTATATTGTGAGGATAAATACACTGAGGGGATGTCTACCCTGCAATTAACACATCCCTGGCTCCCGGAGTCTGGGGCAGCTAACTGGAGCTTATAGGGCTGCAGAGCTAAAAATAGCAATGTAGACATCTGGGCCTGGGCTCTGAGACCATTTCCTTCAAAGGGCTCTGGCTCTGGCCTGTCCTGGACATCTACATTATAATATTATAGCCACCCCCCACCTGAGCCCTGAAAGTCAGAGTCAGCTGACTTGGGCCAGCCATAGCCATGCTGCAGTCTAGACATACCATCAGATACTATGGTGATGGGCCATCTGCATACCTTAGCTAGACAGCTAAAAGCTGGTGCTTAAAGCAACACAGTAACTCCAGCATGTTGCTGGGTGTTGGTTCAGTACAGTACTGGCTCATATTTAGTGATCATCATTCTTCAGCGCCTTGAAGGGTCTCCCAGCCTTAGTTTATGAAATCTGACAGTATCACAGCCAGAGATGGTACAACTGCCTCAATTGCTAATACTTGAAACTCCTCTCCCAGAACATGTGTGTGTTACTGTTAAATAACTTGGGAGATTAATCTTAGCATATCTGTATCAGCATAATTATGTATCCCAATCACCAAAAGAGAACTTCTCTCTGTCAGTCATTCTAATGAACAATCTGTTCACAAAAGGCTGGAAAAAAGAGCTGCCTACAGTTCATTATTTTCAAAGCAAAAGTTATGCATCATTAAGAGATACAGAACCCACAGCTCTCAATTTTTACAAATTATTTTCAGAACCACTCTAGTAACTGGTTTTTTTTGTTTATTAATTATTATTATTATTATTATTATTTTAAAGAGTAACTGTTCCATTGAGGATGACAGGTCTGTGGCATCTTTCTCCACCCAAAAACAAATGATCGTTTTATCTGACAGTCTGAGGCATCACTCTGATTAGGAATATTATTACAATGCTAATGCCTGTGCAGCTGCAGAAAATTAGAGCTAACCATTAGGGAAATTCAAGTCTACAGTGGATGCAATATTTCTCAGATTCCGAGGGTGTGAGAGGAATGGGAATACAGCACTTGCTTTTCCACACTCTCCCTGCCATTTCTTTAAATCTGTTGTAAGATGCCAGGAATGAGGATGGTGAGGAAGTCCTAGAAAGCTGGGACAGAGTAGCTCTAGGGGAAATTCTTTTGAGACTCTTGTGACAGTCTGCTGCTCATCTCAATTCCTTACAAGTATCCCACAAGGCTTCACTCTGGGACATCTTTTGACAGCAGCATTTCAAAGCAGCTATTAACTCCCCTGATAGCTCTGATGTGGCATCATGAGGTCCCTTGCATTCAGGGCTACTGTTGCAAACCCAGAAGACCTGCAGACTTTCATGGGGGCCAGAGCTGCATTACCCAATAGGCAGACTAAGCGCATGCTTAGGGTACCAGCAAAGCAGGGGCAAAAAAAAAAAAAAAAAAAAAGATTTTACTGTATAGTATTGTTTTTATTTTGAATTACATATGGGGGGGGGCACCATAATCTTTTTAGTGCTTAGGGCCTCTAAAGGTCTTAATCCGGCCCTGATGGGGGCCTTAGAACAATGTCTAAAACCTGAGTTAAAATTCAGTCCAGTGCTGAGTAACTGCGACAGCACAGTCTCAGTGAGGCATTCAGAACATAACTCTGGGATTCTTTAATTTTGAATTATGTTAGCAGGTTACTTTTAAGCCAGCAGGAACAGTAAATAGTTGTCATATTCCTTTTCAACATGATTCATGAAATAAGCCACACCAATGTATTGCATGGTTTTAAGTCAGTATCATACCAGAGGGCAGTCTGAACATAGAGCCATAATGATCACCAATGGAAGATTGATGATATATCTGGCTGGGATGCTGAGTGGAGCCTAAAGAAATAGAATTTCAGAGATATTTGGGTGCCTAACCCCACAGACTCCTTTGAAAAGCCTCGTCACTGTTGTAATTTCTCAGAATCTGAAGTTTCCTAGGCCCTTTACAACACAGATAATAAGGTCAGCAGCCTTCCTTTAGCAGCCTGCAGTCAAATTTCAGATGTGACACAACAGGATAAACCAAAACAACAAAAGGAAGAGAACAGACAAATGTCACAGCAAAGAGGTTACAGCATCTTGCCAGATCAAGTTCTTACTCAGCAAGGACCAGCGCCCAGCACAGAGGAGCTCAACTCTTTCTTGTACGTATCATGTCAGAAATGAATCTTGGGGAGGGCTAGTTGCCTGTCATATCAGCTCAGGAAAGACATCCCATGTATACAGGAAAACATGGATTTTTAAATAATGCTGTGATTCTCTTTGACAGTCGGAATCTAAGACACTGGGCTATTGTTCTTTATTAGGAGAAGATAATGAAGAAACATTTGAGAAAGCACTATTGGTTGAACCTCTCCAGTCTTGCACACTCTTGTCCAGCAACATCCGTGATCTGACGTGATTTTAGTTAGCCAGATGTCCACTTATTATGGGTGTGGCCAAGTTTCCCGCAGTCCCATAAAGTTTGTTTTCAGCCACCAGCCCTGGATCTCAGTGTTCTGTGCTGTTATTTAGCTCTAATTTAACCCTAAATGTCTTCTAAGAGCCCAGTAAGCAGTGGGAGTGTTGGGAATGCTGCTAGACAATGTTGAGCTCTTGCGGTCTGGCAAATTCTCTGGTTCGGCACCAGTCTGGTCCCGAGGGTACCGGTCTAGAGAGGTTCAACCTATATTCAATTTTCACCAAATGCCTGCCTGTGATATCCTGTAGTTACTAAGTGCCCACGTTATTTTTATCTCAATGTGTAAATTAAAATCATTAAAAAGTTTTAGAGATGTAGGCAAAGCAGGCAGCAAAAGACGCCTCTGATATCCCTCAAATCTTTGTTCTTTTTATCTTTATTGAAAGCAGAATTAAAATGCATTATTACAGATTGCATCCCAGTGCAGATATTACTATCCTTGCAAAGCCAGTTGAACAGAGTACAGAGGCTATCCCAGCATTTTCTGCACTACACAATGTTATTTCTGCTCATGATTTTATGCCTATAACTGCTCATGTTCTGTTAATAACAAGCTAATGCCAACTCCAAATACCTAGATGTTCCTCACCTCCACCAAATAGATAGCTAGCAGTCTTCTTCCCCTAAAGATCACAATACTGCACAAGAAAAATAAGCATACATGCCACGGCAGCCAGGACAGATTGGCCCATGAATGTCATAGCTGCGATGCAGATTAATCAGAAGACATGTTCCAGACACAGGGGACATCATGAAATGGCACATAACCATGAATGGGTAGCTATCAAAATGGAGAATCAAAGCACATTAAGAAGAACAAGTGGGAAAATGAATAGGAGGATGGATAGGATAATGATAAGGCCGATTGGGGAATTGGGAGCCCAAGTGGCTAGAGGCTAGTTTCTAAGCTGTGTTATTTCTGGACTTTTATTCTTCTTCCTCTCTCTCAATTTCACCATCACATTTCTTTTCCCCCTTTCCTTTTTATTTCTGTTATTTTCTTCCCTCTCCCTGCCCATCTCTCTTCTCACCATGCCCAGACTTCACACTTTCTGTTCTAGTTCCCCATCCCCTCTCTTTTGCCCATCATTCCTGCCCACTTCTTTCTCTCTCTTTCCCCAAACTCCTGACTGTCTCTTCTTTCATTTTTAACAGTTTGGTAGAGCCCAATACTTGCTCAGCTTACCCACTCAGGTCAGGGTTATATTAGCATATGCACATACACGGGGTGAGTGGGGGAGGTAGAAGAGTTGTGCACTTGTTTAACTTTGAAAATCTGAACCAAAAAAGCTTGGGTACAAATTGGCCCAGAGTTAATAACTAGGCACTTAGAGTGCATTAAGAAAATGGCTTGATAATAAACTAAAAGCTATTGGAAAGCACAGCTCAAGGTGTCAGCATGCATTGCTGGAATGAAAGTTAATGGAATCATTTCACTGTTCTATCATTACCTGCTGCAACCGGGTAGGCAAAGTCAGAGATTTTCAATTTGTTTAGGAGTTCTCACTCTTTTTATATTTCTTTCATTCCTCTTTCACTGGATAACAAATTTAAAAAAGGCTTTGCAGCACATCTGGGAGGATAACAGCAACAGCTGGAATACACTGACTATTGAAATCCTTAGTCCCTATGGGTTTCAGCTACAGAAAGCCTGCAGTACTTGTGGGACTTGGGTAGATTTTCTCAAGGTAGTAGTGGCCATGTGGAGTGAGAACGACACATATCTTGAAGTTTCATACTCAGTAATGGGGAGTTTATGCAAATTCTGGTCTCCCTGAGCCATAGTATGAAAAAAAAGAAAAGAAAAAAGTTCCTTTTGTAGGTTTTCTGATCTGTGCATAGTGCTTATGAGCCATGATTAATTCTCTTTGTGAGGTCCTCTAAGCTGTAAAAACAATTTCCATGTTTAGCTAGAAAATTATGCAAGATGCTTTCCTCGTTGGAGGCAGCTTATAAAAACCCAGCTAGAAGCACAGCAAAAATCAGCAAGGGAAAAGGCAAATAGAAAATTGGACCATGGAAGTTTTTACTGGATCTGTGGATAAATTGTAACTGCACTGGATTAAAAAAATTATATTTGAAGATGTTAAAACAGCCATCTGATGGAAGAGCAATTGCCGTTTTGTTAGAGATGGGGCAAAACTGGAACATCAGTTCCAAAGCCATTTAAATGTTGCAGATTTTGAACTTGCCCTCTAAAGTCTTGGTTCAAAGTCAAATTCAAAACCAGGAGGGATTTATTTGCTGAGTCTGATTAAGGTGTAGTTGAAACCTTGTGAGAGAACAAGAGAGAAACCAGTTTCTATCCTTTTTGGATTCAGACACCTTCGCTTTTGCCCATCTATAATTATATCTGAACATAGTCTTAGAGAACATAGGTGAAATATGCTTCATTCAGACTCCCAAGAATCACTCTTCATTCACACCATACCTCCAATTTTTTGATCTCCCCAACATCTAATCCCATAACAGAGAACTTCTCCACTGAGCCATCAGCAAATTCTTTCTTGTCTTTGGGAAGATCTAGCCATAGCCTGCCTGTTTGCACTTTCTGAGGACCCATAATGATGGTGTAGACTCGGCTGTCGGTGCTAGAATCATATTCTGTGCCGGTACTGATGATGAGGTGGTACGGAATCACTGCAATCGACAATGTTCCATTAATCAGAAAACATGTAGAGACACACAAGGGTAGCAACATCTCAAGTACCAATGGGCTGATCCTGAAAGATGCTGAGTAATCTCACTTCCTGAGGTGCACATCACTTTGCAGGATTGGGCTGTGAATATATGCTGAGAAATTTTGCCATACACACACACACACAGGGCCAAATTCTGCACTGGTTCGCCTCCCATGCAACTTCATTCACTTTAGTAAGGTCACACAGGGTGCATGTCAGGGCAGAGTTTTTCTATGTAGAGCAGGGGTGTCCAAACTTTTTTCAAAGAGGGCCAGATTTGATGAAGTGAACATGCGTGAGGGCCGACCATTTTGCCTGACATTCTTTGAACCATTAAAATTAAATGCAAATTAACTATTTTATGCAAAGTTTATTGCAAACGGCATACTTTTCATTTCGTCACATGGATGACAAATCTAAACAGGTGTTAAATCACTCTGCCTTTCATATCTGAAGGCCAGATGAAAAAAAAATCCAGGAAGCTGAAATATATGTCAGGAACATTGTAAAGTACATTACATATTATTGGTAATAAAGGTTGTCTGTCAACTTTTAAGTTCAAAAAATATGAACAGGAACATAACACCAAGTATACATGTTGTGTCCAAATATATTTATAACTGATTTAGACCAACTGACATTAACTGAGATTTTACAATGTATTCATCTCAATACATATGGATTCGTTGGGGGCCATAAAAGATAGATATTGCCAAATTACCTGAGGGGCCGTATTAAACCGGAACACGGGCCGCAATTTGCCCGCGGGCCGGACTTTGGACATGCCTGATGTAGAGTAAGGGGCTGATTTTGATTTACATTAAGGGACCTTAGTGTCAATGAGACTCGGGTGCTACATCAGAGGTGGGCAATAATTTTTGACCAGGGGCCACTTCAGAAATTTTTAAAGTGGCCCTGGGATGCCACGGAAGGGGCGGGGCCTTAGGCAGAAGAGGCAGGGCCAGGAAACGTCCATGCTTCCCCTTCCACAGACCCTGATTAGTTTGAGGGTGGGGGAGCAGGCAAAATCTTTGCCCCCTCCCCAGAGAGAACCGCCAGCAGTTCTGAACAGCTGGAGGTTCACTCTTGTCGCCCATGCCCCTGGCAGTGGGAGGAGACTTCTTGTGCTCCCTCCTGCTGCCCCCAGGTCAATCAGGGCCTGAGGAGGGGGAGTACATGAAGTCTCTCACTCCCTGCCCCTGCCCTGCAAGGAAGTGCTGTGCTTAGAGTCAAGCTTGCAGAACTTGTTTTCACATAAATTGATGGACTCAGCCTCCAGGTTCTAGCACCTAGATTTAGGCAGGAGGGAAAGCAGAAGTCTGCAGGCAGAGGAAGTGTTTCGTACCACGTAGATTATTCATTTGCGATGGTGAAGGCCACCATAACAATAGCAGTACACAAACAGATCCAAGCATCGATCAAGCCTGGTTCTATGGAGCTTATGAGATCCCATAGGATCACAGTCCCAAGTGGTATGACCGCAGGAGAAACAGAACAATTTATCTTTATCACTACAGTAGCGTGTAGCTCGAAATAAGCTACACACTATGAGCTACGCAAATCGCAGAGCTTATTTCAAGATAGCCTATTTTGAAATTTGGCTAATTTTGGAATACAGCGCTATTCCATTGAGTCCCCTAATCCTTGTGCACTGAGGCTTACGAGACAAGAATAACAAGCCCATTATTTTGAATGTATTTCGAAATAACGGGCTTGCTGTTAAGACGCTCAGAACTCTATCTTGGAATAACAGACGTTACCCCAAAATAGTGCTGCTGTGTAGATGTACCTTTTCTGCCCTACTTTGGTCTTCACCAGTATCAACACATTGGCCAAAGAGCTCAAATCTAGAACATACCCGTGCATCCAGACACACACACTGGTCTCTTACATGAGCCTTCCTTTGCAGAGCCGTTCAAGCTGGGTTTCTTCTTATTCTTCACATTTGCATTGCTATCTTGGCTCTTCAAGCTGAGAGAGGAACCACCTAGACTGCTCCGTTTCCCATCATAGCCCTAATGGGAACACACGTATATGACGACAATCAGGCTCAGTGTTCACAGCATTGCCAGCTGTTCCTGCATGCTTCAAAGAGCAACATTACAAGAAATCCCTCTGGTTCACCCGAGTTTTTGCTGAGAACAGCTTTCCTAAGCATGACTCCTCATCATTTACTACAGCTCCTCCATTGATTTTACTGTAATGACCTTAATTCCACCATTTCCCTGAGTGCTATAATGAAGGCAACTTGCATGCGCTTAATGTACCTAATGAAAAATTGATTGTGACTCATCCACCCAACATGTCAGAGCAGAGCCAGATTAACTCTTGTGGGGCCAGGGGGCTAGCAGGTTTTGTGAGGCCCCCTAGGCTGTGGCACGGGGCCAAAAATGAGGGATTATTGTGCAGGAGGGAGCTGGTGAGGGTGTGGGGTTTGGGTGGAAGGGCGGGAGTAGAAGCCGGCTGGGGGTGGAGGGCAGTGTCTGGGTAGGAGGGAGGGTGCAAGGGCAGGATACAGGTGTGGGGTTTGGGTGAGAGGTAGGGTGCAGGAGCGGGGTAGGGGTATGGGTTCTGGGCAGTGAGTAGGGTGCAGGAGTGAGCTGGGGGGGAGGGTATGGGGTCTTGGTAGGAAGAAGGATGTAGGAGTTGGCTGGGAGTAGGGTGCAGGAGCAGTTTGGGGGGTGTGGAGTCTGGGCAGGAGGTAGAGTGTGGGAGGGGGCAAGGGATTGGGGTGCTTACTTGGCACAGCTCCCTGGGAAACAGGTGGTTCCGTGCAACCCTGCGCTTGCAGGCACTTCTCCCCGCCTCTCCCCCTGGCCAGTGGGGGCAGCGGGGGGGGGGGGGGGTAGGTGTGCCTGCAGACAAGCACCACTAGTGGTGATGCACATGGCTCCAGCCAGGTGGGGGGAGAGGGAAAGGCAGCACGCAGACCTGCTTCCTCTCCCCGCTTTGATAATCCGGCTCTGTGTGAGAGCAATGACCACAGACAAGGCAGACACCTAGAGCAGCTCCAGATTTTCTTAACAAGATGTAGCTGTTGAAGAGTCAAAGGTCAAACAAATGCCACGAAGCTGAATGGCCCCGAATGCTAACCCTGTTATGTTTTTAGCGCACTTACTGAGGATGGATTTTGTGCCATAGCCCAGTTAACACAAGAACCCTTTCCCACAACCACTTCATTTCTTATCTACTAAATCTTGTTTCATTGAGAAGGAATTAATATGAGCAATTGGGTGGGTGTGACCACAAGAACTCAGAAGACTCTGCTGGGAACTGTAATTATATTAGATGCAAGGTACCAGTATAATCCCTGGTGCAACCCTACTTACCTCTCTGACGCTATACCCAGGGTGAGTTTGGCTCTGTTTGTTAATGATAATTTAATAGTAACTTTCAATTAAAATGTAACTGTGGTTTGTAAAGCAAAGCCCCGAAACACAACAGACTTTAATCAGCTGCAGTGCTGTGCCTTCCTGTGTAAAGGCAAGAAGTGCCTATTAACTTAATCCTGCTTGCTAATTTTAATTAATACATGTACTTTGAATTCTAATTAGCTCTATTATACTGATTAAACAATGCATATGGAGCTTTTCCAGGTGTGTTTTTAGTGTGGATGGGTGCAGGGGGAGGGGCTATGCAACCCAGAATTTTGGATTGAGAACTCCAGGAAGAGAGAAATCTATTTCTTATCCTCTGGGCAGGGACAGCACAGGCAGCAACAGTACATAATTCCCTACATCGCCTTGCCAATACACTTGGACCTGGATCTGAAGAGGGTAAGTCTCCATGAATCGTTCAGTCCTTGGCCTGTTCACTGAGACTGCAAACAATAGGGCTACGTCTACACTGGCCCCTTTTCCGGAAGGGGCATGTTAATTTCAGAAGCCGTAATAGGGAAATCCGCGGGGGATTTAAATATCCCCCGCGGCATTTAAATAAAAATGTCCGCCGCTTTTTTCCGGCTTTTAAAAAAAGAGCGTCTACACTGAAGTAGGAATAAGATCCTCCGGAAAAGGGCGCTTTTTCCGGAGGATTGGGGCCAGTGTAGACGCTCTTTTCCGGCTTTTTTAAAAGCCGGAAAAAAGCAGCGGACATTTTTATTTAAATGCCGCGGGGGATATTTAAATCCCCCGCGGATTTCCCTACGACGACTGCTGAAATTTACATGCCCCTTCCGGAAAAGGGGCCAATGTAGACGTAGCCTAGAAGTCAGGAACAGGACACCAGAGAGAGAACCATCAATTCATTTTACATAGACCAAAAACAGCCTGTGGGGTGATCCATTAAGATCAGTAATGAACTGCAACCAGAAGAAAGGCCTTGCATCTCATTTTTATCAGCAGTAACATAGCAGAGCTTAGACACCCTGGTCAGGATCATTGTGTTACCACCATGAGACAGATTTGAACCTGGAACCTTTGGAGTTTAGTGTAGGAGCCTGGACAGCTTGAGTTATAAAGCCAGCTGGCTCTCAGTTTAGGCTGTAGTGCTCCTTTGTTCTTATCTCTCATTCTAAGTGGTCTAAGTGCCACTACGTGGGACAGTGAACTACACTAGGGCCACGTCTAGATTACATCCCTCTGTCGACATGAGGTTTACAGGATCTTTTGAAAAAGTCTGCCATTTTCAAAAGAACCACGTCTAGACCGTGGTTTTACTTTCAAAATGGTGCTTGTTTGAAAGAGCGCCATGATGCGATTATGCAAATGAAGTGGGGGATATTTTAATCTCTGCTTCATTTGCACTTTCGAAGTGCCTCATTTACATCCCTCTGTTGACAGAGGGATGTGATCTAGACGGAGCCTAGGTGTGTGAGTTACAATTGTATTAGGTGTTGTTACTGTACCTGCTCGTAAAGTGTCCGTCCTATCCTTTTGTCCTCCTTCTTTGTAGAAAGCCAGCGTTCACATAGGAAGAGGTACAATTCTTCTGTGGTTTCATCCAGAATCTCTACTTTTTCCAGGTACCAGTCAGCATTCAGCATGGTATTGTCATGACGAATCTTGATCTTGTATATAATGCCAAGGTCCACAGCCTGTATTGTGAACTTATCCTCCTACAGGATGTTTAATAGCAATAATTTTTGTTAATAGTGGTTGTTCAACAGCTAATGTATAGCATGGAATACACTTCATGTGTTAACCCAGCCTTACTGGACAGTATTTGATTAAAGTTGTAGCAGAGTTGTCTGTAAAAGATTCTGTCCTAGGAAGGAGAGGTTTAAAATGTGGTTGTGCAGTGAGAGTGACAATGTAAAAAGTCGCTCTCTTACTCAGAGTGAACAGATGTGCCGAGCACGTGGAATTGTATCTGCAGACTTTAGTGCCAAAAGTATGATTTTACTATTTACTTCTGTTCGTTCTTCAATGACAACAGAGCTAAGAAAAAGTGAGCTGGATTCTCCTTGGGTTAACACAACAACCCAACTGTTAACTACATTTCAATTGCAGCTCCAAATTCTGCTCTCATTTATACCTATGCCCTGGAGACGATGGAGCAAATTCTGCACTTGGTTATTATGCATCTACAATTGCTAGTGAAGTTAGCAGGAAAGTCATCTCTTAGGCTATGTCTACGCTGCAGGCTTCTTGCGCAAGAACTGTTTTGCGCAAGAGTTCTTGTGCAAAAGTTCTTACTCAAGAGTGTGTCCACACTGCCATGTCCTTTTGCGTAAGAGTGTCCATGCCAGTGTGGACGCTCTCTTGCACAAGAAAGTTTTGATGGCCATTTTAGCCATAGGGGTTTCTTGCTCAAGAAACCCCTGTTGCTCGTCCACACTGCCTTCTGGCGCAAGAGGGCTTATTTCTCGTGAGGAGAGGAATAACTCTTGCGCAAGAAGCCCTCTCTTCTGATGCTTTACTGTAAATTTACTTGCGCAAGAACATGAGTGCAGTGCTGACGTTCCACAAGCTTTTGCGCAAGAATGGCTGTTCTTCTGCAAACAGCCTGCAGTGTAGACATAGCCTCAGGGTATGACTACACAGGAAAGAAAACCCCACAGCTCTGAGTCTTAGTGCACAGACCAAATGGATGGAGCTTACAAGGCTGAAACTGTGGGGCTAAAAATAGCAGAGCGGAGATTCCCACTTAGGCTGTTGACAGACCTTAAAACCCAGAGAGGAAAGAAAGTCTCAGAATCCTGGCTCCAAACCTCACCTGAATATCCATACTCCTATTTTAACCCCACAGCCTGAGCCTACAAGCCCAAGTTATTGTACCCAGGCTCTGCGACTTGATAAGCAGGTTTTTCTTTGCAGTGTAGCCATATACTCAGATACAAGATAGTCTGCAAGGCTGGCTGTTGATAACTTTTAAACTGAGCACATGTGATCTGGAACTAATGGACTGACAAATTTGGAACACCATGTTGCCATTTTACTTCTCTTCTCAGAGGAGAATTACACTTTAAGAGCTTACAAAAAATGTGTCATAAGATGATGCCCCAAGATGAATGATAATGCATCTCATGGTCAGACTCACCAAAGCTGCCCTCCCTCAGAGGAGATAGAAATCAGCTTCTTAGCGGCTCGAGGGATGGTAACCATGTTTTCAATTATTAGTGCGTCCAGAGCTTACATTGTAATGAAAGAGGTGCCAGGGATCTAGCAGTTGTTTTACTTTTGTAACTGATGCAGCAAGCCCAGAGGTGCCAGGGCTACCAACTGCCAAGCCCAGAGGAGCCAGGGCTATGAACTGCCAAGCCCAGAAGTGCCTAGGCTTAGCACTGGATGCTTCTAATTTTGCAACTGAAATTTAGGAGGCTTGATATGGGCCAGAACAGCCCTATCTCAGGCCTGTTCTACACTGGAGCAGAAGGTGGACCTGGGTTATGCAACTCCAGCTACGTTAATTGGGTAGCTGGAGTCAACATCTCTTAAAACACCATCCACACAGCAGGAGGCCGGTGGGAGTACAAGCTCCTGTCACCTTCTCTTATTTCTCACAGAACTATAAGTACTAGATGCTGGCAGGGGCTGCCCTCAGCATGCACTTTATGGGTCTACATCAGACCTACAAAATTGAACACTAGAAGATTGACCTCTGGAGGGTTGATCTTTTCGCGAGTGTAGACATGCCTCCAGGAACTCCAAAGAAAGAAAGATCTACCCATCTCAAGGTTTGCTATAAAGCCTATTGCAGTACACAAGCACCAACATTAAACTGAAAATGTAACATTTTAAGAGGTAAGAAACATGATCATTTGTATCAGGATTGTCAGACATCAGTTTTGATCATCCTTACAGACTAGTTCTTCTAACTAGAGAAAGGCAGTTGCAACATTTTTTCATCATTCTGCTTAAAGCCTACAATAGAGAAAGTGTGATCGGTCAGTTTCATCTGTACCTTTGCTCTTTCAAACTTGTTGGTATTAGTTTCAGACTTGCTGAGTTTTTTCTCCCCGGTGTCCCCAAGGTCTCCATATATAGTCAGGAAAACATTTGCATCTGTCCCAGCACCATAGACATCTCCAGTGAACACAGAAATCTTGTATGTATGAACTGTATAAAGAAACAAATGTCTAAATATGTTTTGGCATCAGATGAATTCTCAGAGCCTAATTCTATATGCCAAGAACATTGTAAGAAGTGCCAAGCACCTAAGAACTTCCATCTAGTTAATGTCTCCACTGTGCTTTGAACACAGAATGTGCAATTAAAGATCCTAGTATCCTTATTATTACTGGCTTCATTTAATATCAATGGGAGTTGAGTAAACTCAGCGTCTTTCAAGTTTAGGATTCTGAATCTGTTCTCCACTGCACATGAGAGGGATAAGTGGTCTGGAGTTGTGGATTCTTAATATGGTACTCTGTCATTCACAATGAAGCTTTAGGGCTTTCAATATGCAATTACCACCAGAGTTAATAGGACTTACCTGTATAAATTCCTTATACTGAGAGAAGACAACAGACTCTGGAATCTTCTTTCTTGGACAATATTTAATTAAAGACATGTTGGAGCTCTACTGTTTAAATATCTTCTTTGCTATGCTCGCTTAACAGTGATCCAATGAAATCTCATAAAAATCTTTAGGAACGGGCTTTTCTAATGTGTTAAAAGCAGCTCTCTCTGTGTATCTGCTCCACCCCATTTACATGAGAACAAACTGTGACTGAAAGAATGTTCCCTGGAAATGCAATTAGCAGCTAACAGATTTTTGCTCACATTAGTGCCATGCAACCCCAAAGAGAATCTCACTGGCAGCTTTCCATGTTACTCCCACATGATTCAAACATGAGAAGGGGAAAAAGCTGTACTTGTTATTGGCAGCACAAAAACTTGGGGGATGCAGAGTTACCATGTTTGCTTGTGGGATTCTTCTTTGTACATTAAATAGCATCGCAGAAAAGTGGTTTTTCTTGTTTATGTTTTGGGGTTATGCTATTTTTAAAGCCCTTTCACACTTAGCTCTCAGAATAATACAAGGGCTGCTCCATCTTCCACTGTAATCTGTAGAAAAACACCATGTGATTGCAGTGGGAGATGGATCAGGCTCATTTAACTCTGAGAACATTGGTTAGGTTTGCTGCAATTTCACTTTTTCTGCTTTGTTTTCTCACTAACCACAGAGAGCATTATGCTGCAGGAGGTGCTGTAACAAAAAATACCTTGATGGCTTGTGGTTATCAAAGATACTCTGGCATTTTTCATAAGATTAGAGGTGTGAACTATGGTGGGCTGGCCAAATTCCAAGTGGGAAGTAAATTGCAATGTACCTATTTAAATTCCACCTGCATTTTCAACTGAATAAAATACTTTTCATGACGCTATGTCCTAAACTGTGGAGTAGAATTGCTATACTCAATTAAAAAGTACTATTAAGCCAAGAAATAGCTGTATGTTAATACTGGATGCAGTGGTTCTGTCTTTTCATGTGGTCTATGTAATCAGTTTATTAAATGTAACTCTTTGCATATAATTTCAGGAGCTCTTCAGGACAGAATGCACTACTGTAGCAATGGAAGCTCTTACTTCTTTATTATTTATATTGGGCTAGTGCCACAAATCAGCTATAAAGACAATTCAGAAGATACACTCCCTGCCTTAAAATATTTAATATTGTAAGGACTTGTCTTCACTAGAAGGTAACCTGCTGTTAGTTAACATCTGGTAACTTATGAGGTAAAATCCTAATGAAGACAAGGTAGTTTATAATTGTAATATGAGTTAGCAGATCCAGATGAACCCCAGACGCCTGTCTTGTCCTCACATTGACCTGCTAGCTCATCTTATAACTAAAAAAGGCTGTAAGGTGTGCCTACATCAGGGCTATGACTACACTACAAGTTTTCTTGGCAAAAAATATGCTAATGAGGGACTCATTTGCATCAGTTGCGATCTCATTTGCGTATTTTCTGTCGATCTGTTTTTGTGCTGGGGTTTTTGTGCAAAAACAAGAAGTGTGGACATTTTCTTTTTGTGCAAAAACCCCTTTTCCCACAAGATCGGTAAACATCCACACTGTTTGTTTTTGTGCAAAAACCCCAGCACAAAAACGGATCAGCAGAAAATACGCAAAGGAGATCGCGTAGTGTAGATGTAGCCTAAGTGCACAGGCAGAATGGCATAGTGTAAATACAAATCAGGCTGTGAAAGAGAGGGATGACTTCCATGATGGAATCGCTGTTACTTGAACTCTGAAAGATGATGGCAAGTGATACTGGCAGTTCAATTCCATTAGCTCCAAATAGGACACGAGAGGGGTAAGAATCTCCCTTTAGGGTAGAGGTAACTAAATGTTGAGTCAAGGAGATGTTGCAGAGAAATTCTTAGCATCATCCAAGTTCAAGGGAGAAGTTAGGACTGAAATTTGTATTGCGTTGTTATTATTGAAATTGGAAAGCCAAACATCAGGAAGAGGGTAAATCTGGATGTAGTATAGGATTTGTATTCTCTGTTCAGAGCTGGGAAAAAACTCAACTTACTTACAGAGGGATTGAATAAGGAGTGGGTAACTGCCCTGCAGACCAGGTCTGGGAAGGTGTTATGTACTTAAGAGGCAGTGTGAAAGAAAGTCCAAAGAGACAATTGTGGGAAAAAAGTTGCAAATGAGGCCTCAAGGCTGGTAGGACAGGTGGAGCAGAAGGGGTGGAGGACAATACAACAGGAGATGCGAACAAATAACTAGAGATGTTTGCAGGGCCTGGAAGAGAAAATGTTGGAAACTTGTGTCTAAAGGGGAGTCAGCAGAGAAATGTAAAGCATGTGTGTGAGATATAATCAGAAGAGCAACCAGGGAAGATGATTTTAGTGGCTGTGTTTGCAAGGACTGAATGGGAGCATGCTGGGCATCAAAGAAGCCAGAGAACAGGAAGTTATAGTAATCCAGATAGGAGATACTAAGAACATAAAAACAGACAAACTGTGTCAGACCAAAGGTCCATCTACCCCAGTCACCTCTCTTCCAAAAGTGGCCAATGCCAGGTACCTCAAGGGAATGAACAGAATGGATAATCATCAAGTGATCTTGCTCATTCCCAGCTTCTGACAAACAGAAGCAAGGGACACCATTCTTGCTCATCCTGGCTAATAGCCATTGATACACCTATCCTATATGAATTTATCTAGCTCTTTTTGGAACCCTATTATAGTTTTGGCCTTCACAACATCCTCTGGCAAGGAGTTCCACAACTTGACTATGCATAGTGTGAAGAACTATTTCCTTTTGTTTTTAAACCAGCTACCTATTAATTGCATTTGGTAACACCTAATTATTATATTATGGAAAGGAATAAATAACTCTTCTTTATTCATTTTTTCTACACCAATCATGATTTTATAGACTTCTATCGTATCTTCTCTTGGACATCTTTTTTCCAGGTCCCAGTCTTATTAATCTCTCCTCACATGGCAGGTGTTCAACAGCCTTAATCATTTTGTTTTCTGAACTTTTTCCAATGCCAATATATCTTTTTTGGGATGAGTTGACCACATCCTCACATGGTATTTAAAATGTGGCTGTACCATGGATTTATGTAGAAGCAAAAAAATATTATCTGTCTTATTCTCAATCTCTTTCTTAATGATTCCCAACATTCTGTTTGCTTTTTTGCCTGCCACTGTGCACTGAGTGGATGTTTTCAGAGAATTATTCACAATGACTCCAAGATCTCTCTCTTGAGTGGTAACTTCTAATTTAGTCTAATTCCAATTTAGTATAGTTGGAAATTATGTTTTCCAATATACATTATTTTGCATTTATCAACACTGAATTTCATCGGCCATTTTGTTGCCCAGTCACCTAGCTTTTTCACTTAAAATAATGCAGCTTAATGACTCAATGATCATAACTGCAAATAAGCAACCTTGAGTAACATGTATCTACCTCAACTACATATTCAGATGGCTTATTCCCAAGGATCAAGGTGGCATGGAATTTTACTTACTTTCCAGTGGTTCTTCAACTTCCTCTTCTATTTGCTTTAGTGTCCCATCTTTCGTGAGTTTTTCAGTCAAGATATCAGATGGTACAAGTTCTCTGACAATCTCGCCATCATCTTCAGATTTTGCAAGCCACCTTTGACATGGAAATGTGACTGTTTCCGAACCCTGGTGTAATATGACAATGCCACATTCTTTTTTAGAGGGAGAGCTGCAGTCAGTTGCTTCTCAGCACAACTGCCTTGGACACAACCACTAATTTGCAAGCACAGTGAATTGCATTATGTTTATATGAACAGATTTAAAATGGTGTTAAGTGCAACAATCAGACCACACAAGTATGCAATATATCAGAATAAATTACAAAATGGTTTTTACCAAAGGTAGATCGTGCCAAACCAACCTGATCTCCTTTTTTGAGAAAGTAACAGATTTTTTAGATAAAAGGAAATCAGTGGATCTAATCTACCTCGCTTTTCGTAAGTCATTTGATACAGTACCACATAGGGAATTATTGGTTAAATTGGAAAAGATGGGGATCAATATGAAAATTGAGAGGTGGATAAGCAACTGGTTAAAGGGAAGACTACAGCGGGTCATATTGAAAGGTGAACTGTCAGGTTGGAGGGAGGTTACTAGTGGAGTTCCTCAGGGATCAGTTTTGGGACCAATCTTATTTAATCTTTTTATTACTGACCTTGGCACCAAAAGTGGAAGTGTCCTAATAAAGTTTGTGGATGACATAAAGTTGGGAGGTATTGCCAATTCAGAAAAAGGATCGGGATATCATACAGGAAGTTCTGGATGATCTTGTAAATTGGAGTGATAGCAATAGGATGAAATTTAATAGTGAGAAGTGTAAGGTTATGCATTTAGGGATTAATAATAAGAATTTTAGTTATAAGCTTGGGACACATCAGTTGGAAGTAACGGAAGAGGAGAAGGACCTTGGAGTCCTGGTTGATCATAGGATGACTATGAGCCGTCATTGTGACATGGCCGTGAAAAAGGCTAATACGGTCTTGGGATGTATTAGGCGAGGTATTTCCAGTAGGGATAAGGAGGTGTTAGTGCCGTTATAAAAGGCATTGGTGAAACCTCATTTGGAATACTGTGTGCAGTTCTGGTCTCCCATGTTTAAGAAGGATGAATTCAAACTGGAACAGGTACAAAGAAGGGCCACTAGGATGATCCGAGGAATGGAAAACCTACCTTATGAAAGGAGACTCAAGGAGCTTGGCTTGTTTACCTTAACCAAAAGACGGCTGAGGGGGGACATGATTGCTCTCTTTAAATATATTAGAGGGATAAATACCAGGGAGGGAGAGGAATTATTTAAGCTCAATACCAATGTGGACACAAGAACAAATGGATATAAGCTGGCTAGTAGGAAGTTTAGACTTGAAATTAGATAAAGGTTTCTAACCATTAGAGGAGTGAAGTTCTGGAACAGCCTTCCAAGGGAATTAGAGGTGGCAAAACACCTATCTGGCTTCAAGATTAAGCTAGATGGGTTCATGAAGGAGATGGTTTGATGAGATAACATGATCTTGGTAACTAATTGACCTTTCCCTATCAGCGGTAAATAGGCCAATGGAGGGATGATAGGAGTTACTATAGAGAACTTTTCCTGGCTGTCTGGCTGGTGAGTTTTGCCCACATGCTCAGGGTTCAGCTGATTGCCATATCTGGGGTCGGGAAGGAATTTTACTCCAGGGTAGATTGGCAGAGGTCCTGGAGGTTTTTTGCCTTCCTCTGCAGCATGGGGCACGGATCACTGCTGTAGGATTCTCTGCATCTTGGGGTCTTTAAACCATTTGAGGACTTCAATATCTGAGATATAGGTGAGAGGATTATTCTAGGAGTGGGTGGGTGAGATTCTGTGGCCTGAATTGTGCAGGGGATCAGACTAGATGATCATAATGGTCCCTTCTGACCTTAAAGTCTATGGGTAGGTCTACCCTACAAAGTTAATTCGAAATAACAGCAGTTATTTTGAATTAACTTTAATAGCATCTACACAGGCAAACCTGTTTTTGTGTATAGATGCGTTATTCCGAATTAGTTTAATTCGAATTAACTATTTCGAATTAAGTTAATTTGAAATAGCACTTTAGTGTAGACATACGCTATGAGTCTATGAGAACAAAGTACCCTTTTAGGTTAAAAATAAACAACCCCCTTTCCATTATTTGGTATCAAAAGCTAAACTGTTCTCAAATGTAGTGTAGTCTGCATTATTTAGTGCTTTGGTTAATCTCATAATGCAGAGTACACTACTCCACTAGTTAATAGGGGATTGACTATAAAATCTAATAAGTATTCTTCCTCTATAACTCCACAGAAGTTTCAGTGCTTCATCCTGAAAACCCTTATTCCCGATAGCATTCTCCCCCTGAAGACATGGGTTTGTAGAACCCTGAAACCCTTTCCCAATCCTTATTCAGACAATACTCTCCTTAAAGTCAGTAGTTTTGAGAAATACTTCAGGATTTTGCTGAAGTCAAAACTTCATGATTTTGCCCTATAATACAATGACTCAAACACTCTCAAGCTAATCCCCATGAGGACATTAAGAAAAAAAAGTGAAATAATTTATCCTTTGATTTGACTTTATGTTAGGAGAAACAAGCATGATTTTCACAGGAAGATTGTGGAAGAGCTTGGACTTGAACTAAACTTGCTAGAATCACAAGCTAATGCCCTAACCACTGGATTTTCCTTTCTCTCCAGAGGCAGGGGGATACACCTCAAATTTATATTCAAATGATTCCGCATGCATTCCCACTCATTTCAAGATTGTTGTGTAGAACAGTGATTCTTGCTTCTAAAACCCTCAGTGGACTTGCTTCCGATTGCAGAGTCTCAAGTGTCTGATCTCAATTACCCTCTTCCTTGCATAAAATAATTTGCCTTTCTGGGACTCGGATAAGTAGTTCACCGAATATAACAGTAATTTCCTCGGTTTGGTAGAGCTCCTTGGGAAATGCGATGGTGTTATGTGTGAGCACCTATGTCAAGTAGTTCATGAAGAAGCAGTGGATCATTACAGCTGCAAAACAATTCAAAATAAATGGATTGACCTACTGGCTAGGCACGTGCTTGATAACATATTGTGGCGGCTCAGCAAAATGAAGTACTACTGTGTGATAATGGACTGCCGTCCCAACATTAGTCACAGTGAAAAGATGTCAGCTACAGTAAAAACTGTTGATGACAAGGATGGCTGTATCCAAGTGAAGGAAAACTATCTGTTTGCGGTCAGTAGACAATTCTACTGAAAAAAACCCTATCAGAGTTGTTTTGAACAAGAATAAAATAAAGCTTCAGGACTGCCAAGGCCAGGCTACTACAATGGTGCAAACATGAAGAAAAGAAACAGTGGATCCAGACAAGGATCTTTGTGCTGAATCCAAAAGATTTCTTCATGCCTGTGGCTCCTATTCACTCAAACTGGTTCTGTCAGATGCAGCAACATCCTTTTCAGATTCAGACCTGACCTACACCAGGGGGCAATGTCAAAGTAAGGTACACAACTCCAGCTATGTAAATAGTGTAGCTGGAGCTGATGAACCTTAGGTCAAGTTACTGAGGTCTCTCCCCTGCAGGTGGTAAACGGGAGAAATTCTCTCGTTGATTTCCCCTTATTCTTCTGGCTCCAGTGGAGTACCAGAATAGATGAGAGCATGATCAGTGGTTGATTAGGTGGGTCTTTACTAGATCTGCTAAATCAAACCCTGCAGCGCTAATCTCCCGGTAAGTGTAGACAAGGCCTTGGTATCTGTCTGAAATAATGCAAAGTATATACATCCTGTTTTCAGCATCAGCCATCAGGTGGGAAGATCCTCAAGGACAATGTTACAAATATGACCATGAGGCTACATTGACTGTCTAAGGCCAGGGAGTGACTAAGTGACTGAAGTTTATGACACTCTGATAGACCTGGCACACAGAAAGCTGAGACCAGAATCTGACATGATAACGACCTTTATGTCAAATTGGACATCATCCTCTGTCACATTTTGCCAGATGAGAAGCAATCTCCACTTCAAGTTCTTAATTCCTTCATGATGCAGCCCTCAAGGACACATTTCCTAATGTGAACTTTGAAGATTTTGACTTTTTTTGAATTTGACTTTTCCTTATATGAGCTTTGACGATTCTGCTTATACTGCCGGTCACAGTCATGAGTGGTGAGTGCAGCTTTTCAAAGCTCAGGCTCATTAAAACATATTTCCAATTAATGATGGCCAAAGAGACGTTAAAAACAATGAGTAGTCCTGTGGCACCTTAGGAACTAACAAATATATATATATAGTATCATGAGCTTTCATGGGTAAAACTCATTTCATCTGATTGACATCAGTTGTTATTTTATTGCTTGAAAATGTCATTAGCTGGGCTTTGAATCTCTCTGATGCGGTGCTTCAGTACATGAATACAAAGGCGAAAAAAGTGACCTTTTGAACTAGACAATGAGGGTTAACATTGTAAGGCTGTTATCTACTGTAACACTAATGCCGGTGCACCCATTGTGAGTGCACAGTTCTATTTCTTGAGGTTAGTATATTTTGATTATTCTGAAAATTAAAAAGTTTCCCAAAGCTTAAAGAAAACAATTTTCATTTGCCTATATGTGGCATGGATAAATACAGGCTTATGGATCCTAGCAAGCAATGTATCATCCAGTATGACAGGGATAAATCATGCATGCAAATTGTGCATCAAAGTCGTGAAATGGACTACAAATGCAATAAAAAATAAGGTACTGAAACTTTTAACAAATGGGGTGAGGGTGCTAGAGACACTCCTTGTCTGGGTGTCATTTGGTGGAGAGCCAGCCCCGCTTTCCCCTATCATCCTCTGCTACAGTGCTGTCATTCTTTTTATGTTTCCTGACACTGCCTTCTCCTCTGCAGCGCCTGTCATTGAGAATGACCTTCCTCTCACTACAAATCTTAGCCAAAAACGTGATTTCTCCCTTGTATATTCCTTTTCTTTCCCCTCACTGTTCCTCTCACAGCTGTTATTTAACCCTGTACTTGCCAAAGTTAACTCACACATTTTGTACCATGGTTTGTATGAAAGACAGTACAGGCAGTCCCCGGGTTACATGGATCCGACTTACATCGGATCCTTACTTACAAATGGGGTGAGGCAATCCCGCA